AACAGTTCAGAGCAGCCATTTGCCTGGTTTTGCACTGAGACAACTCCAATTGGGCAATTGCTCCACAGCGCCATGGCAAACATTCTCCTACCGTTTTTGCTATAAGAGCAGGAGAGGAATTAGCATGTGACTTTCTAGGGCATGGCCCTGATGGAGCCTAGTTTATTGAAAGTGTGCATGAAATTCATCACTGTCCTAACCTGTTGCTTAAGGCACAAACTTATGTGTATGGACAAAAATGGCTTTGACTCCACATTTCAGATCTTGAATTTTGCCGATTCAGAGGATAGAGGTCTTTCTGCTTTCTTCTGATCTGTATCAGGAACATTACTTTTGTTTGCTAAAGCCAATCTTTGCTGCTGCTCTTGTTTTTTAATCTGGATGTTGCCATTGTTTCAAACATGAGGTGATGTTTAGAGATGGGGACAAATTGCCATTTTGGCGATTCGTCCTGCTTCGTGATCTGTCAAAGTAGACAAACTACGAAGCTCCTCCCCATGAACTGATGAAGCACGGGATGATTTGTAGGTTTGTCAGGGTTTGACAGAGGCTGTCTAAAAAAGGAAGCCCTACCCCCACACCCTGCCCCCCTGCTCCCTTCTCTTGTTGGGCAGCCTGTGCCACAGTGGCCTCCACAATCTCCATCCATCACTGCTTGCTGCGATGGCCTTCACTGCTATGGCTTCCCTTTGCAAAGATGGTGACTGCAGCTTCTCTGCCTAAGTGAAGCTGCAGCCTCCATCTTTGAAAAGGGCAACCTGGGCTCCCTTAATGCAGGCTAAGGGAATCCAGGCTGCCCTTGGCAAAGATGGTGGCTGTGGCCACAATTTTTGCAAAGGGCAGCCAGTGTCTCTTATGGCAGGCTATGGCTGTGGAGGCCACCGCAGTGAGCAGCGATGGATGGTGGCCTTCCCATTCTGCCTATGGGTCGACCAATCAGCTGATCGGTGGGCCAATAGGCAGCCAGCCAGCCCCACAGCCACCCACCCTCACAGTTTATCCCCCACCCCCTTCCCCTCCCTACCTTAGCCGCCGCCACCATTTGCCACTGCCCAGGGCCACTGTCACCCTTTGTTGAGCTTATTTATAGTACCCGTGTTCCAGAATTCTGTATTTACGTTTGGAGTGGGCTTGGCATACAGTGCCTTACATTAGTCAGCTCTCCAAATAACAAATCCATTTACTGCTCTGTTTTTCTTTAAAAAAATAACATAGCAGTTTAATAAAAATAGAAGTCTGAAAGCATTCCAGGAAAAAAAATCATCAGATTTGATGTTTCATTTTTGACATCCCTGTGAAATAATGCTTCCCCAGGACGCAGTTAGAAGTAACCCTTGTGACTGGTGTAATTGTCAAACACAATAATATATAGACCCTGACTTGAGCTACCTAAGAATTATATACATGCAGCAAATACAATTTATATTTTATGGTTTTTTTCCCCCCGGTATTAGAAATGTTATATCTGAAAGCTGATGAAGAGAAAGCAAAGGAATTGGGCAAGCAATGGAAAAGAATTCAATTTTATTGGTTATTTATTAAACCAGTTTTTTTAGTAATTCTGCAAATAAGTGTTGTACAGCCTTTTAATTAAGTGGTTTCATGAGTGGAATGTTGGTTGGGAACTTCTAACATGTGATGCTTGATTTTTAAATGACACTACAGGAGCTGGCTATTTTTCTCACACAATTTAGAATGAAAAAATTCAGATCTCTGGGCAAGATTATGTGCTTATGCATTTTCCACATTTCAGCATTTGTGGGTTTTGTTTGCCCTCCTAAAAATTGACACCAGTGTTTTTAGAAAGAAAGAAAGAAAGAAAGAAAGAAAGAAAGAAAGAAAGAAAGAAAGAAAGAAAGAAAGAAAGAAAGAAAGAAAGAAAGAAAGAAAGAGAAAACTAGTCTTTTTGCTCTTGTGCAGCAGTAAACATCTCATAGTGTTTCCCAATTTTTTTCATTACAACAGTGGTTCCTAACCTTGCGTTCTCAGATGATCTTGGACTGCAACTTACAAAACTCCTGCCCAGAACAGCTAGTAGTGAAGACTTCTAGGAGTTTAAGTCAAGAACAATGTTGGGAGCCACTGAACTAGGGCATCTTGCTGTAATGATACACCATTTTGTATCAAGAACAAGAAAATTTGCACGTATTCTTTGTTTCCTTAAGTATATACGATGGAGTGCTGATAAGTATTGAGACTTTCCCAGAAAAAAATTGAGCTAGGAAACTATAAATCGCTGGGTGTATTGGCCAATTTGTCTGTATTCAATGGTACAAAACTCAGCTACCTATTATTTTAAGTTATCTTTCATGTTCAGGTCCAAAGTGAACATGGCAGCACCTCCAGAAAAGTTCAGTGTGGAAGAGCATAAGACCATAATCAAGTTACCGTTTTGCCAAGGGAAAGGTGCAAAGCAGATCCAGGATGAAATGTCACAAACTATGGATGACAGTGGCCCTGCATATGCAACAGTTATAACATTGGGTTGTCAATTTTAAAACTGGCCATTTTGGTGTTGAAAGTGAGAAACCCAGTGGAAGGCCAGTTTCTGTCTCTGTGTCTGCAAATGTAAAAGCCATCCATGACATAATCATGGAGGACCATTGAATAAAGCCAAAAGTATTGCTATATATCTGAGAATATCACATAAGAGAGTTGGTGCCATTATCCACAACGACTTGGACATGAGAAAGTTGGCAGTTTTTTTGGGATAAAAAGGGAGTTCTGCTGGTGGACTACCTCCAACAGGGGTCAACCAACAATGCAAAATATTACTGTGCTTTATTGACAAAACTGAGGCAAAACATCAAGGAAAAATGTTGAGGAAAGCTCTCCAAAGGTGTCATCTTGTTGCATGACAATGCCTTGTCACACACTGCAGATGAAACAATGGCAAAACTGACCTCTTTAGGCTTTCAAGTGATGCCCCATCCACCCTATTCACTTGACCTGGCTTTCTGACTATCATCTGTTCCTCAAACTCAAAAAACACCTAAATGGACAATGATTTGGGAGTGTTCGGGAGGCAACTAATGCTGCAAATGAGTGGTTACAGCAGCAGTCGGAAGAATTTTATTTGCAGGGACTTTGCAGCTGCAGGATAGATGTCACAAGTACATTGACTTCCTGGGGGAATATGTAGGATAGTGTGGCAGTTACAGCTTCCTAGCTCAATTTTTTTCTGGGAAAGGCTCGATATTTATCAGCACCCCCTTGTACACAACACTAATTTTTACCTTGTCTGCTTAGACAGTGACTGATTTGGTTCTTAACTGCATCTTTGATTCAGAGGCAGGATTCAATTGCATATGACTTGCAACAACTGAATTGGGAAGGAAGCAGTTTCACTGCCCCCTACTGTCCTGCCTCCAGTGTACACTCAACATGTGCTCTAGAAGGCTAAGAAAATTTATGGAATAGGTTTTTGGTCAGGATGAAGTGGGAGAAATAAAGATACATCACACTAGTGGTAATCTGCTGGTGCAACTCTGAATTTAAGCAAGAATTAAACAAGTGGACAGAAACTGAAAATATAACCTTACAAATGTCACAGCAAGGATAAATGTTGTTTCCTCCTTGTAATACATAGAAATGTTCGTTAGCCCTTTATTGCATGCATTATTACACCAGAGTTTCTGATTTTTACTTATTTCTCAAATATTTATTTTTAAAATATGGCATTGTTGTCATGATTTTCTTTCATATTTGCATTGAGATATCGGGCTTCTCTGCTGGGACTCTGCATATGAGCTTTTCAAGGGCAATGAAACCAGTACAGTGGTGCCTTGACCTACGAATGTCCTGAATTACGACCAATTCGAGTTACAACCAGCTCCGGTCGAAAAATTTTGCTTTGACTTGTGACCAGAGCTTTGAATTACTACTGGAAAAAGGCAGGGGAAAAGGCAGATAATTCAAACTGCTAACCACTGATGGCGAAGAGGCTGCTTCTTTGTAGCTCTTTCACCCCAGCGGTTACAGAGGGTACGTTCAGAGGAGGCTTCAGACTGCCTGGTAAGGTGCTGCTTTCTGCTTTTTAAAAACTGCCTGTTCTGGGTGGGTTTTGCAACGTGGTTTTGGACTGGGGGTTATGTTTCTGTGCTGTGATGGGTCTTGCAGTCTCTGTTTCTTTGTTTTGGGGAGGGGTTCGCATTTCCGATGGGTATTGCAGGGTTTGTTTGCTTTTTTGGTGTATTTTTCCCCATTTCAAATGGGTCTTGCAGGGTTCATTTGCTTTTTGGTCTCCCCCATTTCCGAAGGGTCTGTTTGTTTGCTTTTTGTGACTTTTTTCCCCCATTCATGATGGGTCTTGCAGGGTTTGTTTGCTTTTGGGTTGTTGTTTTTCCCTTTGGATGGTGCAGATTAATTACATTTTGACGGGTCTCACAATGTGTGTTTTTGTTGTTGTTGTTTTTGTTTGTTTGTTTTGAGGTGGTATAATTTTTTTTCCCAGACGAAATGGATTAATTGCATTTCAATGCATTTCTATGAGAAATTGTGCTTTGACTTACGACCATCTTCTGGAATGGATTAAGTTTGTAAGTCGAGGCACCACTGTATACTCTTCATCTGATATATATTCACACATTGTTTTTCCTAATTTAACTTTCTACAATGTTCCATACTTTACATAGTGGGATTTCCCTTAAATGCTAAAGAAGCAATCTAATTTTGATTTGAAAAAACAAGATTCTTCTAAGCATATTTGCTCGGAAATCATTATGTTGTATTCTCTGGTAAGGATGTTTAAAAATGCAGTCTGTGTTATATTTAAAAGAAGTGATTATTGAGACATTCTGCAGTCTGTGTTATTTAAAAGAAGTGATTATTGAGACATTCATGCAAAATGTACGCATTCAGACATTTATATAGTCTGAACATTGTGCTTCTGTTTTAACAATTACAAAAAGCTGGAATCTTTTCAGAGTACTGTTTCTTTGAATGCTTTGCATTTTTTCACCACATTCTAAATTTTCATTTCTCTTTCTTTTCATTTACAGAATTAGATGAAGAAGAACCAACATCAGCAGGTGAGACCCTTCAACATTTATATCTTCATCGTTGGTAGCTATTCAAGAAATTCTTAGCTTCAGTCTTAAGCCACCTTTCCTTTCCTTTTTCTACTTTTTTCTTTAGATAATGAAACTACATTCCTTCACAGAGTTGAGAGTAAATCTTGTTGGTGCTAGTCAAATTTGATTCTGAATAAACATGCATAGAAACAGATTGAAAATTGTTGCAGTTTGATGACTATGTTGACCCTACTTACTTTTTTTTCCCCATGAGTAAGAAGTTGTTTTCTGTCAGCATGGCTACAGGTCTCTCCTATAGATGATGGGAATTGGCAATCAGCAAGAAATTTTCTTTTTCTTTTTCATATTTTAATATAAATGGACCTAATTCACATTTCCCCAATAAATATATATCCTAGTGATTTCTGGATAACTCAGTTATGTGTCTGGCTGCAGAGTTCACTTCCCCACTGTGCATCACAGAACAGCCAGCTTATGTGATCTTTGGCAAGCTGCGCAGTCCCACCACTTTTCCAGAAGAATAGAATGGTAAACCACTTCTGAGGACACTGTACCTAGAAAAACTGAAATAAGTCACTATAAATTGGAGTCAACTTGACAGCACGTAAGCTTTATCATAACCCACTCATGGTACAGTGGTCCCTCGACTTACGAACATCTTGACTTATGACCAATTTGAGTTTCAACCAGCTCCGGCCGCCAAATTTTGCTTGCAATCAGAGCTTCGAGTTACAATCGGAAAAAAGGCAGGGGAAAAGGCAGGGAATTCAAACTGCTAACCGTTGGTGGCGAAGAAGCTGCTTCTTTATAGCTCTTTCACCCCAGTGGTTAGAGAGTGTGCATTCGGAGGAGGCTTTGGACTGCCTGGTAAGGTGTTGCTTTCTGCTTTTTAAAAAATGCCTGTTCTGGGTGGGTTTTGCAGTGTGGTTTTGGGCTGGGGTGTTATGTTTCTGTGCTGTGATGGTTCTTGCAGTCTTTTTGGGGGTTTTTTTGGGGGGGGAGTTCACATTTCCGATGGGTCTTTCAGGGTTTGTTTCCAGGAATGTCTGCTTTCCCAGTAACAGCATGTGGCATGAATACAAGTAGACCTCTTCCTTTGCAGAAATAAAATGGCAAGATAATATATCTGTGAGAAACCTTTATCCTACCTACCAATCTGATTACTTAAGCTGGAATTTTACAGTTCTGGAAGAGCATCTCAGAGAGCATCAAAAGAAGTGAAGCTCTTCCTCAAAAGTGGCTGATGAGGCACCAACTTCATAAAGCCACCTGTACTTTTTCCTAACAGCCTTTTCTAATCCCAGCCACCTTGGGGAAATTTTGACCTTGGGGAAAGGGAAGCAGTAATATATGAGAGCACAGAATGTGTGGATTGTATCCACAGGCCTTTTGGCCAAGGATGCATCAAACATTGAGGGTGTGGAATTTTAGAGTAGTACTTGTTGTTTAGTCGTGAAGTCTTTGTGACCTCATGGACCAGAGCACACCAGCCCATCCTGTCTTCCACTGCCTCCCGGAGTTGGGTCAAATTCATGTTGGTAGCACTGTCCAACCATCTTGTCCTCTGTCGTCCCCTTCTCCTCATGCCTTCACATTTTCCCAACATCAGGATCTTTTCCAGGTAGTCTTCTCTTCTCATGAGATGGCCAAAGTATTGGAGCCTCAGCTTCAGGATCTGTCCTTCCAGTGAGCACTCAGGGTTGATTTCCTGGGGGTGAGCACTCAGAGTAGTACTAGGGGATGTCTAAACATATTTCCTCTCATAACCCTTGGCAGTGTTGTGGTGGACAGGTGAGAACTATATACCTTGTCTCTGTGCAAAACAAGTGTCCCTTCATTTTGAAAAGCACATACTCACAGGAAGCACAGAATTATTGTGTAATTGTTACAAAGCAACCGGTTCCATTTGCACACTTATTAAATGGCAGCAAAGCAGCAGGTATCACCATTTTGCACAATCTTTTTGTTTGATTTTGCTCAGTATGAGCAAAAAGTGACTCCCCTTCTCTTTCTGTTCTATTGCAAGCATTATGAAATAGTCATTGTCTCTAAAGTTGCAGAGAATAATTTTGTGGTGCCTTGTCCTCTCAGGTGAGGACAAGTGAAGGAAAGATTTACATCCCTACCCAAATAACCACCTATTGAATTGGCTTTGGGAAATAACACTGTTACAGCAGTCATGATCAAGCCTCAGTAATGCACATAATCTCTCACTGCTTCTTCAACCTTCTTGAATGTTCACCTGTCCTGTGTTATTTTTCACAAATTGGCGATGCCTCGGGTCCTCAGATGCTATTGGAATGCAACTCCTGGAAGCTTTCACCATTAGCTGTGCTGCCAGAAGGATTTCTTGGAGTTTCGGTCCAATAACAGGTGGGGGCCCAAGGTTGGGTATTACTGTGATAGATAAAGGATTCCAAAGGGAGTCACAAAAGCTCAAAATTTTGCATTTGCCTCATGTGTGAGAGAGTTCCTGCAGTTTATATACTCCAGATGGTAAGAATCAGGGTCATCTCTTCTTGTGGGCCCAGTGTCCTTGTTGGGATCCCCTGCTACTGATGACTGCTTTGTCCCCCTCATGAGCAACAATTGATTACAAGGTGGTCTTACATATTTCCCACAACAGGATAGTTCTGAGGTTCTGTAGACTGAGACAGGAGCTACCAGTATGGGCGGAAGGGTATTTAGCCATGGCCCCATCAAAACCTAGAGATGGCTCTGGTGAGAAGAGAAGAAAAACTTTATGGATGTCTGGGAATGCCTGTGCTTTTGTAAAAACCTTGAAGTTGTTCCAAGCAAAAGTTTGATGTATCTTCACAATTCATGTATATACACTGCAAAAGAAGATAGCCATGGAGACAGATAAACAGGAAGGATATAGATTCTTGTGTGGCATTCTCATGCAGTTTAACAAGAAACCTCAAAAAGCTTCTCCTTGCCTGTGAAACTGATATTTCCTTTGAGTCTCAATATGTGTTTTTATATTTGCATAAGTGATTTGCATAGATTGTAAAACCAGCGAAGCTAAGTTGCTGATCTATAATACCTGCTGCCTTGTGTCATGGTCCTGCATAAATCAGAAGCATAGGCTGAGTTGTTTGTATCTTTTTGATTAATCAGCGACTACTTCTGAACTCGTTCTTTATGTAAGTGTGCATTGCTTCATAATGGGAAAGGACACAATTTTTAAGTAGACACATTTTTTTGCAAATTATGGTGACATCAATAAAATTATTTATTCATTCTCATACTGAAAACAGGTAATCTCAGAGGGGTTAATGAACTCTTTACACACTTTAAGACAACCCAGGGACTTGACAATTAATAACGTAGCATGATTTTTTGACATTCCTGGAACAAATCTGATTTATAGCCGCATAAGTGTTCAGTAACACTTTTTCATGACAATACTATTTTCCCTTCATTATTCTACAAACATCCCCTGAATACCCACTCTGTCTGTCCTAGCCTCCACCAGTGTGCTGCCTTCCAGACGTGTTAGAGGTAGCTCCTATCTTCTCAGATCAGCATTCCAGGTTAAGAAGGACTGGTCTGTGCTAATTTTTCCAATTCAGAATTTCTACCATGCTTTTCTCTGAAACAGCTTTGGATTCAGAGTTACAGAGCACGTTGTTGACTCCATTGACAGCTGTGTATGCAGAGGATGCAAGCAATTCTATTTACTACAGCCATGAAATGAAATACATATACAAATAAGACCTTAATTTCACTTATCAAAAGGAGGGTTGTATAGAATCAGTGCTTGTTAGATTACATTTATAAAAATGCTTTCTTTAACTCTTAACAACCACCAGCTTTCATTGGGCATGGCATAAGCTCCAGTGTTTAAAATAGCTTCTCAGTTACTATAGGAAAATAAAATAAAATTAGCAATCAAACCCTATTTGTCTGTTTTCTTCTCAAAGCCATTACTGCAGGGTTTCTCATGCTCTGCATAAATTACAGCAATCCTTTACCAAATGTTAATTCATATCACAGAATAACATCCATAATTCTAGATATTTGAATTTTTAGAAAGCATTTATCTCTACTATTTCTTTTTGCTTTAAGATATGACCGTATGTTATTGTTTTGAACATAAGACATTGAAATGTTCTTCTAAAGTTGTTTTGATATTTATTTGCCAGATTGTTGTGAAGTTTAAAACCTTTGCAATTTCCATTGAGTAGATAATCTCTTTCTATAATTGCTTGGCGCATGAAATAGTTCAATTGTTGAATCAAAATGCCCATTTCTTTTTTAGAATTTGAAATGAATATAAAAAAGTGTACGCCAAAGTCAGAGGTGGATGCCAAGACTCTTGATTGCTTTACTAAAGTGTGTGAATTAGAGTCATAAATTGCATATTTATTGATATTTAACTGCTTTGCAAATTTTAATTAGTATAAAACCTGTCAGTTTTGGAGAGTCAGTTCCTTACTTACATACTGCAAAATAACTTCTGTGTTCTTTCAGATCAGTTTGTTTCTCAGACAATAGTTGAAATCTTGTTCAAGGTGGAGTCATGTAAAATAACACGGACAAAAGTGTGCCAAATCTTATTCCCAGGCAGCCAGCATTGTGTGATCAATTGCCATTGTATGGTTCATGTCATGGTTGTGCTGTTTATTGCAGTTCATGACTGTGTGTTTTACGATTGTGCATTTGCATGTTGCAGTTGCACAATCAATCATGCAGTTCACTTTGGAACTACTGCCCAATGCACATACAGAACTGCTCAGTGAATATTATTTCACTGTGCTGTGGTTTTTTTTCCTACCCCTTCTGCAGCTTTGAGTTATGCATGCATGACTGCACAACAGAATTTCAGCCAATAATTTATTTATCTACAGTATTTGTTTACTTACTTAGAAAATATATCATTCATTTACCAGTGTGAAATCCTCAAACTGAAGAGCAAAACTGAAACTATATTTGGCCATGTTGGCTGGAGGATTCTGAGAGTTGTAGTGCCCAACAGTTCTTCCAGTCTCTGA